CAATAAACATTTTTTTCCATCCTGCATGGGTTTACCAAACTGAAATTCTGAAAGGGAGTATGAAACAGATGTTCTGTGAAAGTCAAGGTACCACGGCTTTAATAATTCTGAGCTTACACTGCTATCACTTGAAGTTGTACCCACCAGCTTTTTACCTGTCTGGATATGTGTCTCTCTAGATGCCTAACTCCACCAGGTGCCAGTTTCTTCTCCCTTCCCCTTCTTTGGAAGACTCAGCAGTTAAAGTATGTGAGAAATCTTGTGAGTGGATAGAGCGATCAATAATATACATTTTCCCATTGATGACTGCACGCAGACAGGAGTATTCAAGGAGGACAAAGAGTCTTTCTCATGTCGTATTTCAGATAGTACAAAGTGGTTCTCCAGTACTGTCAAACAATAACATTTTCCAAAAGTGTTTGGAATGGGCAGAATAGAGCATTTTTTTAGAAAGATGTCAAAACTGTTAATCTTGAGAATTTCAGAACTTCCCTCTGCCCCAAGTATTTTGTTCTTATAAAACAAAGAAGTTTTTTTATTCCAGCATTATCCCTAATAGTCACTGGGAATATCCTCTAATTCACAGAGATCTGTTGATCACAAGGAGCAGACAACTACATCCTCTATGATGTGTAGCACTGAGGAAATATCCATATCTGTAGGAGAGTGGTCATGAGGCCTGATTATCAAGACATCTGCTTTACAGATAGTAGTAGCTCAAATAAAAATTTTTAGTAAGCACATAGCACTGGTACAATGCGTACATGCTAACTCTAATCACACACCTAATGACCCTCCACAGCATTGTGAAGCAGGAAGCGAAGAAATTATTTCTGCTGCTTATAGGAAAGGAAGGCTAAAAGATGAAGTGTGATGTAAGTTCAGAATGACAAGTCAGAGAGGGTTTTCCAACTCTGAGCTGCTTTCCTTGTGCAGTGGTAATAGAGGAAGCCACTGAGTTTTAGAGAAACGAAAGTCTGGCAGAGATCTGCTAGGCTGGTAAGGGCAGTTCCTTACTAACCATTCAGCCAGCACGCTGAGGAGTATGCATAAAACAAAAAATGAAAGGGAAAAACCTTTCATCAGTGGTCGTAGTGAAATATGACATGACTTTGCAAGGACATCATCGGGTAATTGGTGTAAGGTGGTGTGTGAACAGAAAGGTGTGAAACCTCTGCTTTACATGAAGAGTCAGATGACTTCCAGGCAGCAAAATGAAAAAAGATGCCTTGGTTTCATTTCCTACTGTTTGGAAGAGATGACAGTCCAGCTGTGACTATGGAGCCACACAGAAGGACCACTCCAATTTAATGCAACACAAGACTTTTCAATAATATTCTGCCCTCTCTTTCAGCTAGATTAGGGCTAGTGCTCAGACAAAGAGCTTTTGTTAAGTACTGAGTGTTCAGTCCCCTCCAGCATACACTCGATAGATATCTACTAAGGAACATGGATAAAAATTGCATGTTCTTTGTCCCTTGGCTCTACCTAGTAAAGGGTAGATACTTGCAGGGTACTCCCTATTTTCTTTGTAACCATGTGGATGTTCAGGAAAGGCAGTGCAGAGGAGCCATCTCAATCTGAGCCTTCCTCAGAAGCTGACCATCATTCTTGGACAACTAGACATGCACTAGACAATGGGGATCTGTTTCATCACTTTCTGGTGGAATGGGAAGCAGAACAGCCCTGGGAAGTGCACAGGACCCTCACGTTCTGACCATCTGCTGTAGACTGTTGTCTAGGATCAGAACAATTTGAAGAGAGGTAATATTATGTGTCAGTAGAAGAGAACATGAAATGAGCATGTCAGCTTTAATATGGTGCTACTTATTCAAGTGTAAAGATTTGGAAAAGGAATTCTATATTTCTGTATTAGAACACATTTCTGTCCAGCTGATGATTTACCACAGAACATTCAACCCTTTGTGTGAGAATTTGAATGTAGATGAGTAGAAGGCCTTAATCTAGCCTCCATGGACAGAAAGAGGTACCTGGAAGCCAAACCTACACTCAGAAGATAACATGACAGAAACACGCATCATGGCTTTCTTCTTCTTTACTCTTTGCTTTATTTCCTGACTCAGTCTTTATGAAGACTTTATGATGAGTGTCTGTGTTCCCAGATTTGCCTTTTCTAGATGCTAAATGATCATAAACCATCCTGTTGCTCTGTGCTGCCATTTTCTTATCTGCAAATTTGTACACTTGACACATGGACACATTCCTGTGTAACATTATCTAGGTGCTCCTGCTCCGGCAGGGGGATTGGACTAGATGATCTTTTGAGGTCCCTTCCAATCTCTAACATACTGTGTGATACTGTGATACTGTGACAGTGGCCGCATCTGAAATGTGAGGAGATCAAGTGATAAAATTGGCTACATAAGCCCCCAAAACTGTAACTAGTATCTATAAAAGTTGAATTGGGAAAATCTTTTCTTTCTGATATTTCATCCTGCTGTTATGCTTAAAGGTTTAGTAGTAATAAAAGGCCAAATGTGGATATGTCTGATAGGTTTAGCAAGGCTGTTTAATCCAGTGCATTCACTTGGAATGAACAGTTCTCTGCAGAACTGACTTAACCTTTCAGCTCCTGAAATTGTATCTTCTTCCTGCCTGGATAATTGCAGCAATTAGTTGTGTTCAGTTGTGTTAAGATTTGTCCTCAACATGTTAAGAAGACTGAGCTGCCTGAGTAAATAATCTCTCTCAAACTCCTTACTTGCAGCTCTTCTTTGCACACTCTCTGGTAACTCAACAGGAAAGCACTGCTCAAATTGGAACCTGTAATGGCAAAAACTGGGCTTGATGACCCAGTTCCTTTTTCAGCTTTACGTTTCTGACAGCATAAAAAGTGCCATATGTAACAAGAATAATTTTCCTCCTACTTCTTGACACCTCTCCTTCCTTTGTCAATGGATCACTCCATAGACTCATGGCCAGTTGATGTGCCTCAACGGGTGTCTCCCACCATGTAAAATATGCTTAATTTTCCTATATGTATAAAACTACATGCCACAGCATGCCATTTGCCTATGTTTGTCTTGCAAAGCAATCCAGATGTTTTAACTTTATCAATAGGTTTGTTCAGCCTTCTGTCATTTGTGAGTCCACTTTGAATCTCAGTGGGACCTCCATTTTGTCATCATCCCTAGAGGTATTTAAAAGATGTGTAGATATGGCTTTTAGGAACATGGTTTAGTGGTGAACTCAGTATTGTTAATGGTTGGACTCAATGATCTTAAAGGTCTTTTCCAACATAAATGACTCCGTGATTCTATGATTGTAATCATAGAAACATAGAATCAGAATGGTTTGGGTCGAAAGAGACCTGTGAAAATTGTCTAGTCAAACACTTGTGCCACAAGCAGGCATGATAACATTTTTTTTACAGTTCTTTGAGGCATCCTTGAATAGCATTATCTCCTTACCTCCATGTAAACACTTCCAGCAATCAAGTTATTGCTTAACCAATTTTAATTTACTGAACTAAAACCAAAATGGGCATTGCATAGTGCTACTACCCCAAGCACATTACAGGCCTAAATTTTTTGCAGTACAGCACTTGTTGTGAGATTTGCCATCTCTCTACACTGCTATTCCCAGGGAGCTTTGGCATACAGCTTTTGGGCCTGCCTTTGCTGGTGAAATTTGGTTCTTGTCTTTGCAGAATGGAAATTCCCTGTTTGCAATGGTGGTAGTAGGCTAGATCTATTCCACAGATGGAGGTCCTCTTTCAGGCTGCAGATGGTAAAAATGCTTGGTGGTGTTACTGGTCATTTGCTGAGATTGGAGGTGCTGCTGAGGAAGAGGTCAGCTTCTTGCCAGGAACCAGAAGAGTCATTTGGGGCTGTGCTAGAGAACTTAAATCATACCTGTTGGAGCCAGTTTAATTTTCAGCTTTTTCTGATCAGCTACAGTCACCCTCCACTGCAGTCTGTGTGAACTGTACCTGTGCCCTCTTCCTGAACCTCTCTTTCTTCTTTTCCCTATGGGCTCCTTTGTTTCCCTTGGAAGCTCCTGCCTACCATGCAATCATATACTATGTTGTAGAATTACTCTGATTTCTTCGTAAGACTCGATGCAGTAAGCTCTTTTACCATGATAACAATCAAAGCAGGGTTCAGTTGCCATACAAAACCCCTTTACCTAGCTATCCTCAATACACCTTTTTTTTCAGGGGTCTATATGTACTTGGAGACCATCCTTTATATCTCCTTCAAATGGGCTTCTTTTTTCATGCATGCCTTTCTGTTTTCATCTTCTACACACAAAAGTGGAAATTAATGGATAAATGGGGAACTTTAATTATTGCCAAGTAGAAATTAGTGTCTTGAATACTTAAATACTTTGCAGATAGTAGACAACCACAAAGGAATTTAAAATGATGAATCATTGTATCCATGCTGGAACCTCATTTTCTCTTATCCTATTCTGAATTTGGTGGTGAAGAATGAGAAAGTGGCAGAAATGTACTTAGACTATGGAAAGAATGCAAATAGTGTTTCACAAAACGACAGCAGTAGGGAGAGCATTTAGATCTCTAAGTGACTCTGAATAATGCCAGGGAAATCTCAGTGGTTACTTTAAAAGAATACCAGAAATGAGTTGACTGTTATACTGACCCTTTAACCACACAAATATGATTTTTATCTGATAGGGTGTAAGAATATGCTTGAGCCACAATGCATACTCCTCAGTCAGTACCATAATTTCCCCCTTTTCCCAAGCCACGTGTAAAAGAAACTTCAGAATCTGCCACGTCAATGTTACCCGTTGATGAACCACTGAAAATTTTTCCAGGACCATGCTTTTAGAAAGATGCTTTCGAGGGATTCCCTTGATTAGAAAAAACTAAAGGGTTCTTATCTAACACTATCTTGTCTAAATATATACAGCCTGTGATGACGAAATAAAAAATTTCAAGACCATGTATAAATACCACTGAGAGGCAGATGAAGTTCATTCGTCTACTTTCTTCTAATAGAAGAGTGTACTATTAGAAGTTGAAGCTCACTGCTCTTAGAACTGACATCTCCCAGAATTTATCTGAGCAGTTTAACTGAGCCATCACCAAGAAAATGACTTGCCAGACCTACAGCTTGTTTGCTCTGTCTGTCATCATGATTTATTTTGGACGTTTTGGAAATAGCTCAATTCTTGCTCACCTTCAAAATGATATAGACCAACTGAAAGCTGACTTTGTAAGTATGGTGTTCTACTGCATTTGTCGTCTCCTTGTGCTTTAAATATAGTCCTGCATTGAGCCCTGCTTGATATACTCAATGTGTACCAATAGAGGGTAACCATAGAACAAACCTTTTGCTTTACCTTTTGTTAAGAATATGGACAATTTCTTTGGTTTTGCTAACCTCATTCACTAACATGATACAATTTTTCAATAGTTTTAGTAAATAATAGTTTGCATTAATTTCAGGGGCATTCCTCCTTTCATAAGAGCTTCTACTAGCTCTATGAAGCCTTTGATTACATGGAATGTTTCATAACATGAAATATTTATGACACTTATGATGAATGATTTAATCTTGAGTCAATTCTCAATAGAGGCAGTTTACAGACACTTTCTTAAGTTTTAGGTTACTAATGTTAAGGGGGGCTTTAGTAATAGTTAGCAATATAAACAAAATGGAGAAGACTAAGAAGACCTTTTGCTTTAACAAATGCATCTGGTACTTACTACTAGTAGCGGTGTCCTGCCCAAAGGTGGTTCCTGCTGCTTATTCTTTTGCATCCTGCAGCCATTCTGTTTACATATCTATGACTGTTATCTGGCATAGGAGTGTTATCTGGCATTGTATTACTTCTTTTCATTTTGATAACTTGATAACTGTAATGTTAACTCACCTATCTTCGTCTAGGAGGCATTAAAGTACTCCACAATTGACTTCAGCTGGGATTAGAGATAACAGATTCATAAAGGAGTCACTTCTAATTAACAGCTTTTATTCTCAATATATTTTTTTTCTTTAAATGCATGAAACCAATTGCAAGAGTTTGCTCCTGTTTTCAGCTATCATTTTGTCAAAATTTCGTGCATATAAAAGTTAAAATTTAATCATCAAAGAATCATCCTGAAGTATCACATGAAGAAGCCTATTGTGATGCTTCAGTGTCTGCAGAGGGATAGCAAACTGGCTGTAAAACTGGCATTAAATCTTAAATTTGTCATTAGCACAGATCAGAGAGATTCTCACTAGAATATATATAACTCTGTTGGAGACATCCTGAACCGTGGTGAGTTTCTTGCACTGACATTAGAAACTCTGGTCCACAGCAGGTGCTCCCCACATTTCAGAAGAACAGCAAAATGAAGGCTGGTGGTAAGGTTAGCATGGGGAGCCAATCAGCATATGAGGTTTCTGTCACTCTGCAAGTTTTCCCTTTGCACTCACTGTATTTAAATTACCAAGCAGACGAGAAAGGAAATAGTGACTGTTGTATACAAAAAGAAAAAAAAAAAGACACACAGAAAAAAGGAAATGACTCAGTTTACCTCTCCTTGGTAGGAGAATTGTATTGCTCTTTGTTTCCTAGAATCTGCCGCTGTGCGTGGCTAACATCTGAGGGTTAACCTCTGTCCCTGCGAACCTCTCAGTATTCCACTAACCTTGTATATCTCCATACCTGTGGGCTACTGGGCTATTCTCCAGTTTCACAAACTGTAGTTTTGCAGTAAAATTAGTTTGTTCTTGTTCCAGATGAGATTTATTAAGCCTGATTAAATTCAAGTGCACAGACCACATACTGGTGGACTTTGACTTAAAACGTGCCAAAATCAGATCTGACAATTTGCTAGCCAGTTGCTAAGCCTCTGAACTTTGATATTCAGCTGTCAATACCACAACTTGCAAGGAGTATTTGATAAAATAGAGCTAAATGTCTTTTTTATAGCAGGAGAAGACTTTGAAAAACAGCCTAATGCTATTTCTGGTACTGGGCAGTCATACAATGCAATTTGGTGCTTATAGAATTGAAAGCATTGTAATAGCAATAGCCCAGTGATGCAAAAATCGTGCCTCTGGTTTTTATTGCTCATTTGAATAGAGAACACAAATTTGCCTTGTAATAAGTATTGTTTGTATAACAAATATGTTTGTTCTTTGTTGCAGAACTCAAGCCATTCAGATGTAGCTGACGGTGGACCTATTTTTACAGAGAAACTGATAAACTGGACAGAGGTGAGTTAGAGCCAGACACAACAAAGCATCTTGAGCACTTTGCAGGGCGCATTTGGTACAAGGCAGCTCCCAGAGCCGGTGTAACCAGCTAAGGAAGGACAAGCATGAGCAGAAGCTGCTTCAGTATCTCTGAAACAACAAAACAATCATAAAAATATTTCCAATAAGGACCAAGGTGCTTTATATTGCACCACGAACCAATCCTGAGGTACAGCCAAGTCCAGGACATGAGCTGCAACATCTTATCCTGTTTTAAATGACAGTAAGAAACTCTGTGCGCTACATTTTAGCTTTGTTTGCTTTCCTGCTGATGGGCACTCATAAACCTTTCTTTCTGACTGTATTTTTCAACAGAGAAATGAAAAAAGAATCATCCTGAGCCAGATTGTTTCCATGTACTTGGAAATGCTTGAAAACGCTGACAAGTCAAAGGCGCACATCAGGCATATATCTGAGGAACTCTATACTCTGAAAAACAGCCTTCCTGATGGCTTGAAGAAGCTGAAAGACCTCAAGGACCTGGCAAAGCTTCAGGTAAGGCTCTTCCTCTGCCTTTAAGACTCATGATGCTATAATTTCCTGTTGATATTTGAGTGTGAGTCAAGCCAATAATGCTTTATAACCCATCGGGTAATCCCCATCTAGCTCAGTTCACACTGGAAAACCTGTTGTTTCCAGCTGCAGGGGTTGCTGCGGGTCTGCGGTGTGGGGTGTCAGCATGGGGGCTGCTGTCCTGAGTCTTGCTAGAGTCCGGCACAAAGGTGCTGGCAGCTCTGCCGTGTCATCTGCCCACCAGAGCTGCCACTGACACAACCATTTGTGGTTTAGAAATGGGTGAGAGAGTCGTGCCTGGCTATGACACACCTCCGCATGCTTTGGAGTCACTCGGCTTGTTGAACAATTGCCGATAGCATGAACTATCGGCATCTGCAGAGGTCTGCAGCCAATACCCTGGTGGAGTTAGCTGCTTGAGTGGGTATATGCCATCACAATAACTACAGGGTAGCTCAGTTTTACAGAATATGGCTGGTCTGTAACATGTCGTGTAGTAGTACAGAAAGTGGAAACCAAAACTTTGTGACAATGTGGGTGTTTGTGGTAGGAATCAGGGAATGGTGTAATTCGTAACTGCAGATGTCCATCTGGTTTATCCTGGTAGCAGTGTAGCCTGTACATTGTGATCAGTAAATAATTATAGCTCTTGGCATGACCTTCCTTCTGTTTGTTTCTTATTTATAATAGATGAGTGACTTGAAAATTCAACGTAAAGCTGTGCATGAGCTGTTCAGTGTCCTGCAGAAACTCGTGGAGACTCCAACTTCTCTCAAAAGGAAAAGGAGCCAGTCTCAGAGGAGGTGCAAATGCTAATGACATTATATGGCATTTTGTACAGAGTTATTGTGCAAATATCGTTATGATGCACGTTTTTTATTTCAATCTTTTAACGGAATTTTTATACATTTATTTATTAATATTTAAGTATTTTAAATAATTATTTATAATGGAATACCAAAGTATTTATACCTCCTACTACTGTCTAAGAAATGACTTTGTCTTAAAATTCTGTCTATCTGTTATATGTTTGCTGACCTGAAAATACAGAATGGGGCAATGTTTACTCAATTTCCATCTGGAAATCCTGAAATGACATGATACGGTACCCAGCTTTCCATCTGGTGCTGTCTTGAGAGAGGGATGTTATAAAATTAGTCTCATCATTCATTCATTTGTCATGAAGATGCAAGCACCAATATGGGGAAGTTTCTGTACTCATGAAAATATACTCATATCTGCTTACTTCTAAGCATATCTAAATTCAAATCAAGCAAGTAGACATGCTTAAAGGCAAGCAAATGCTCATGCACTTTTCTGAACAAACTAGAGGATTGATGATTAGTTGGTGACAACTATGCATTGAAGTTCCCAAGAGGCCAGGCTAGTTAGCAGCTCCAGGAAATGTGACTAATTCTATTGCACTTCCTTAACTACAACTCACTGATTTTGAGAAGTTCTGTATTCTTTTGTACTGAATTGTTTAAATGTGTCTGATGTCATTTTATTTATTTGGAGGTAGTAGTATGGAAGTTTTTATCTCAAGGACTATATTTTTGTACTGGAATATTATTTAAACCTTCTAATTTCTCAATGGAAAATTTTTGATCTTTGGATATTAAATAAAAAATAAATATTGAAGAATGCTTGCATGTTTATTCACCAGACTCTCTGTGCAAGGTGAACTGCTAACCTTGCTTTATGTTGTCATAGAAGATAGCCCTGCCAAGATATATAAGCCGTATTTTATCTCCTTCTTCCTGCCCAAGATTTGGGAATGGACAATGTTTTTGAAGAAATTTGGCAGAAGCGTCTAAAATTCCCAGGCTTTTCAAATTCTGCTTTTATCTGCATGAGGAAGTATAATTTTGCCTGTAAGAAGGCTTTGACCGTTTAAAATTTGTTGTTACTCTGATTTAAAATAAAATACACTTTTCATTTCCTCTGCAAGTCAAAGTTTGGGGCCTAGATTGAGGTCAGCTCATCCACTGGACTCTCTGTGAATGGTACAAGCTGGAGGCCTGCGGCTGCTTGGGTCTTGGCCAGTCTCAAAGGCTTGGGTTTGGGCTTGGGACTGGGGAGGTGAGTTGGTAGGGCTTCCTAATGCTCAAGTCCTCAGGGGTTTACTAAGCAAATTATCTAGGGCAGACTGGTTGGTCTGACTGAGAATGGGGCAGATTTTCCTTGGTATTCCTGACAATATAGGACCTCCAACTCCCCCCGAACTTGAGCCGAATCAAAAAATTCCAGAAATACCACCCTACAGAGCCCAAAGTTTAGTTATAATTGTTGTAATAAGCCTAAAGAGTTTGGTTGTAATTGTTGCAGATCTTCCTACTCTTATGGACTCAGCTGTCTCCTCGGTGTAAAATACCTTCTCTCATATCCTCATTTTACAATCATAACAAAGTGACTCAGTAATACTGGATACTTGAAGTGATTTTGAACGAAACAGCTGCTCTTGTTTGTACTCATCAGAGACATGTACATGCATGTGAGATGCAAGTGAAACAATGCTGTTCCAGGACTAAACATGACAAGCCTCAGTATGTATTTAACATAGGCAATGAGTCTCTGTGTACATGCTCTTTCATGAGGTATTAGTTAAATAAGAGACAAGCTGTCTTCCTGGGAAGTGAAGCCAGCTATAGCAACTTCTATCAAAAAAAATAAATGGAAAAAAAAAAGAAAGAAAAATAAGTAAAAAGAAGAAGAAAGAAAAGGAAAATGGGAAGAGAAAGGAGAGAAGAGAAAAATTAAATTAACACTCTTTTTTTTTTTTCTTTTAATTTAAAGCCAGGACTGGTTGGGTGCTACTTCATTAGACTATAAATTGTAAAGTCTACAGTCCTTCTTCACCTTGCCACAGAAAAGCAATTAAAGACATTGCTATACACCCAGCAGGAATAATATTTACTCATCCATCTTAATCCTAGTTGCATGTATCTAAGCCTGTGCCATTTTCTGTGCTGTGCTGTCACATGCATTCATTCTGTTACCTCATCAAATCTGTCTCAAAACAGCAAGAGTAGTGGGGAGGCGTTATTGGTTAGTCACATAATTTCCCAGGTTCTTCTCATCCTAGTTCTGGGCAGAGAATTAGGGAAGAAATGAGCAGCTGAGAGATGGAGTAGCAGCTAGCACTGCTGACAGAATGTATTTGTACATTTATATAAGTTGTTTGGTGGCTTGGGTTTTGTTTGTTTGTTGGTATCTGTTTTGGTTTTGGTTAGGTTTGGGTTGGGTTTTTTCCCTCCTTTCCTGCCCTCTTCTCCCCTAAGAATCCTTATTTCAACTAGAAATTTTTAAAGCATCTTTAAGCCTTTCATGTTAAACCTGACATCATTGCAGATTCACCAGTGCTGCCATAGTTACCTAACTGCTCAAAGGAATCCAAATAATTTGTTTCTCATGTTTGCCTTCCTCCAATTTTCCCTACCCAGTGTAAGCCTGTGAAACCCATTTCCACAGGGCGCTTAACACAAACTGCTGAATCAATCATTCCTCACTTTGCTCTGTTAATGTGATAATAGTATCAGAGAAGAATATCATAAAAATCAGCCTCCACAAGACCACAGTGTTTCCCCTCTGTTGTATACCTTACAAATGGGGTCACTTTTAACATGAAAATCTGTCGTCTCTTCTCTCACATCCATGGGAATCCTGGATCTCCTCTTTTATGTCATTCCTCACTATATCCAAGTGAGGAAGATGTTTCCAGCTAAGCTAAATTCAAGTGTGAAATTAATTTAAAGACTATCCTAAATATTTCCAAAGAGAAACATAATAGAAGCATCGGACATTTTTTACAGAAGGTCAGAGCAATTTTTTCAGCTATGCAACTTGAGAGGGTTCACAGATGCACATGCAGAGGACTGAAAAGATATTATCTACTACCTAGTCATTAAAATTAGAAAGGGGAAAAATCAAAAGAAAATGCATCATTGTCTCAGAAAGTCACTGCAGTTTATGCATCACTTCTGCAGCATATTGATCTATCCTTACTCTCTATTCCTGTATATTATCAGTGCTGATTTTAATCTGATATTTTATCACCTTGCCACTAAGTATTGGAAGTCCTTTAATAGTTGTTTGCAGCCAAACCTCCTTCCTGGTATCCTGAATTACTTAGTACATCAGCAAATTTAATTATGAATATGAATAATTAAATTGATATTAATATCTTAGTGCATCAGCATACTTACTTATTTCACAGCTCACTCCATTTCCCAAATTGCTGACAGCTACATTAAATGGCACAGGCCCCAGGCAAGCCCTCTCATGACTGAACCCACTTAACTGCAGAAAACATTCACCGATTCCTACCCCTTATTTCTTATCTTTTAACCAGTTTCATATTTATGTGATGAACCAGTTTCATATTTATGTGATGACTTCCTTATAACATAACAGCTTAACCTCTTTGGTATCTCTATGGTGAGACTCAACTGAGATTCTTGTGAAGATCCAAGGACAGGATGCTATTTTGTCTCCCCCTTGTCTATATATTCACTGCATTGGCTCTTCAGTAAGCTCTAGTATAACTAAGAAGTGTGGTATATCCTGTGACGAAAGTCATATTTAATAATCTCTTGTGCACCAGATTTATACATGGGCCCACTCTATCTCACTATTGTGAGATACACTCTATTGTGTAGGGATGGTAGGGATGCTAGCTTTACCGGTCTGCAGTGTTCTGGGATTCCCCTGAGGTAATTAAACCCATTTTGTGCATCCCTGGTGCAGGGGCAGATTCCAGAGCAGGTTATATCTCCCACACTCCACAGCTGTTTCACCCTTGAAGCCTGAAGGACTCTGGGCGAAGGTTGTCGGTTCAAATCTGTCCTTGTGGTCATCTCCCTTCTCTAGTCTATGGGCGACCATGAGGTTTTTCGGTCAGTGGGAAGGAGGAGTAATAAAAATGTCTAAAAAGGTCTGGAGGTGGAAAAAAACCCAAACGTGGCAGATGTGTGTGGGATTTTTCAGCTGGAAACATCTATTCATGCAAAAACTCTCATCTTTCTGTTGTCTTGTGTGGGACAGAGAAGTGATAATTTCTGCAACTCATGGGATGTATGTAGGCTGCTCAAGTAGGTGGCAGACAGCTGTCTAGCAACAGCAATAAATACAGCTTCTGGGTACTGTATGTAGCAGTTGTCCTAATGCAGAGCAGCAAAATAAGGCAACACATCTTTCAGCTTCCTCTTCTACTCTTCTTTCCAAGATTCCCCCTTGCAGTGAGCAAACTCTTCCTGGGAAGCAATCGGGAAGGTCTATGCCAAAAAACTACCTGCAAAAGTAAGCAAGGTGATTGTTTGATCCCTGGCAAAACCAGCTGCTGCTGTATGGTGGTCACATCGTGACAGAGGGAAACAAAAATGGAAGAGGGCTCAGTTCCCCTCTGCACAAAGCAGATAGAAACCTCTTGCATCACTCCATGCTCACTGCTACCTCAAAGGCAAGCTGTCATTTGTGATATTTCCCCCTAAATCATAGGTCTAAGATGACCTTGACCTTACAAAACAGAAAGCAAGCCAGGTGGGTAAACCTGGTCTCTAAATCAACTCCAGGCTGTGAGTTACTGCCACTCCAACAGGCATTTAATGTTTCACAGGATCAGGTCCTGTACAGAATTTGATCTCCTTTTAAGTCATATATCTGCTGAACACATGGAGGTACACAGCATGCATGTATGATACTATATACAGGTTTTGCTCAGTGATACAAATAGGAGTATATTGTTTGGAGTTGTCTGAGGATTTCTCTGTGTTCATGGCTAGATACTATTTTTTCCAGTGTACTATCTATAGGATCATACTCATAAGGAGCTGAAAGTTTTCTAGAAGACGCTATTAACAGGAGTAAATGACAGCACTTCTTCACAGACTGGTTCTATTTTATTAAACAAGATGCAATAATATATATATATATATATATATATATATATATATATATATGCATAACCAGTTCCTCAGAAAAGAGTTTTGAAAAGTGTATTATCATATACAGTGAACGCAAAGCCAATGACACTTTGAAGGAAAGTCATTCCACAACTCACAATTTTATGTTATCCTCAGGCTGTTAATGTCACCAGTGGTAAGGAAATTCCCCTACACTCACCCTTCTTACAGGCTCCTGAAGATCAAACAACAGATGTTGCCACTAGCATCTCCCCCTCTATCAGGCATGTACAACTCTGTCTTCAGTTCAGTTTCATGTCTCCCTGCATTATCATCCTGTGTCCTCCTCAGTAGATTTCTGATTGCATCCTCAAAGACCGTAGGTGTCCATGGTTTACGCTGTTATGACAGCAAATTAAGACATCCCATTTTAGCTTCATCATTAGAAGG